AAATTTAAATAATGTAATCCAATTATCCATGGATGGGGTTTTTAGTTGGAAGTGCATTATAGTGAGTTGCTTTTGCACTTTGAATATTAAGAGCCCATGGAGAGAATTCTAAGCAGTTATGCTTCATGCAAAATTCTGTTTAATTCCAGTATGTATGTTTGAGTGCTAATTGATAATGGACAAAGGATATTAGAACAAAAATGAAATAAAGTCAGCTAAATGAAAATTAAGTATTCTATCCTAAAACAGGACTATGCTAAGTAGACTTCTTCAGTTTATAATAAGGTTTTACTTAAGTTTGAATTTTTCAGGACGTAGCATTACTTTCCTTGTCAAGAATTTTCATCCTCAAATTATTTCCTAGTTTTAAAAGGACTCAATATGAATGGCTTTTTCCTGATTAGGTCTGAAATTATCCATCTTAAAACACCTGAGCCTACATATACAGTTTTGCATCACATTACACAGTAGTACACTTCACAGAAAAGTCTATTTTCACATTTTATAGCTCAGAACCAGTGTAAACCTGAGCCATGAACCTCATTGCAATTTTTCAGTCGCTTGTTTTCATATTACTTACTATACCTATCCACATTATGCACACCATTTGACAACTATGCCTCTACAATTAACAGCCTTCCATGTAAACAAAGCTATAGAAAGACGTAGTTTGACATTTTGGCTGAGTAAAATATCTCCACTGGACCTCTCATCTAAAAAAATTGAGGATAAGTACATTTGTTCTTTGCTATCTTTCAGAGTTGTTGCAAGGATTAGGTAAGATTTTTCAAAAGCTGTAAAATATAGTACAAATGTAAGATATTATGATAGATCTTTCAGGTATTTGAGTAATAAATTATATATTCAAAGTACCAAGGAATTAGTTTTTTCATATATGCATACAAATTACGAATTAAGAAATACTGGTTGTTAGGCAAATTATAATTTAGGTATGTTGGAGAAAGAAAAATCTATGTAAGACAATGTTAAAAGCTTCCAAAAACAACAAAAAATCTTTGAAACGATGTGATCTGCAGCATTGGCTTCACTTCGGAAGAAAAATTAATGATGCTGGTATATCATTTTATTACTTTGATAAAATAGTAAATCATGCTTTTAAACCTTAACTCAAGTGTATTAACTCCTAATATATTTTATATTTTAACAGATACTTCATTTTTCCTGTTATTTGTTAAATCTCATTTTTTCACATTATGTAACAAAAATTGTGCTACAATGAAAGCCCAAAACTCTAATTTCAATCAACTACACCCACACGGCCCCCTTCCCTGAGGGGAGGGGGGGAACCCACCCACTGGACAGATAAAACAGCAAAAATAAATATCCCTCTTTCTGATTAGTCTTAAGGAGAAACAGTAAAATAATGATTGGAAGAAGGAAAAATGGCTTCTGAGAATTAATACTCTCCATCAGGCGTCATCTGCTTTTACAATGTTTTGGAATGCCGCCACACCCATACTAAGTACAGGCTGCTTTTGCTGCAGTAGCACTGATGAGCTGAGAGGCAATAAAAAGGCCACTTGCTCTTTAAAGAAGTTTGCCAAACACTGAGCTAAGCAATCAATATTGAAAAGAATATACATTCCAAATAAATCAAAATGTTGTTATTTATACAAGAAACACTACTTCTGTTAGGTCTAGCTGATTCTTATTTTGGCTTTGTTGGGTTGTGGTCACTCTGCTCACTTCTTACCCTCTCCACTCCCACTACCCTGGTCCAAGACAGCATCTTTTCTCCCCTGGATTACTGCAATTGTCTCTTACCTGATCTCGCTGTCTCAATCCACTACAGTCTAACCTCAACCACAGCAAGCAGATAAACCCTTTAAAAACTTGTCAAGTGGTAGCTCTCCTTTTTTCCATACCTTTGATGGACCCCCATTTCATTCACAAGATAAGCAAAGGTTGTCCTAATGGCCTAGAAAGCTTTATATGATTTGGGCCACTTTGTTTCTTACATCATCTTTTATTACTCTCCTTTTCCTTTATTCCCTCTCCTGCCACAGTAACTTCCTTCTGTTCCTTGAACACACCAGGCTTATTTTGAGTGAATTTTTTTTATAACTATCATTCATTCTGCCTGCAGCACTCTTTCTTCAGACTTTTGCATGACTAATTGGGTGATTCCAAGTGTTTGCTCAAATATCATCTTAAAATGAGGCCTGCGCAGGCCACTCCACCCAGAACTCCGTATTCTCTCATCTTCTAACTATTTATTGTACATGTGTAATTTATGCTATGTTGTGTTTATTGTTTGTCTTCCCTCCCACCCTACTGACTCTCAACTTTAAGAGCTTGGAACATTGGTGCAGTCTGTGGGAAGGGGGGAGGATAAATAGTGCTAATGAGCTCAGGAAGCGAAAATTATATGCTATTCTTTAAAAAGTACTATAGGCAATTGAGCAGGAGGAAAGTGGAGAGAATAAATTTTCAAGTTAAAATAAAACCCTGCCAACTTTAAGTCCTTAAATTACATGGCTTATTGCCTTTAAAATTAAAACTAGCCAAGAAAAGAAGAAAAAAAAAAAAAAACCCCACATTTTTAAAAAAGAACAAGGATTTGTAGAAGAGAATTATTTTAAAAAGCCAATTAAAACAACTATGTGCCACTCCTGCAGCTTATTGTTTTAACAACCATATCAAGCGAATTTAGCTTGATCAATCAATATAATTCCACAGATGGGTATGTCTAGATATGATTGTATAAATAGCCACGCCAAAGGTCTTACACCTGTATCTTGCTTCCAGAAGACTAATGAGACTGCAGTTGTCAAATGAAGACACGATTCAGACTATGAAATAAAGCCAGAGTTGATGTCACATTAGTAATGCAGCAAAGCAGTGTCTTGTGCCTATTCCCATAATCCCAAAGGACTGCTACAGCAATATTTAGCAAAGGCCTCAAAGAACAAATGAATACGATAGTTAACATACCAAAACCAATAACAGGACCCCTCTGACTCAGAGGTGATAACTTCAAAAATACGTTTGTTGACTTAAAATCTTAATCAGTGTAAGACCCTGAAGAATTACATATCCAAAATATAACTGCATTCTGTAAATTAAAAAAAAAGAAATGCTTTATTTTGAAATGGTATTGACAGAACTAATCTTAAGGAATGTCTGTATGATTAAAGGTGGCAAAGCATTCTAATAAGTCATTATAAAGTGTTATTTAGAATGATTATCCATCAAATAAATAATTTATTGTAATTGCCAGGGAAAAGCCAGAGTTATTTTTGACTTAGTCTACAATTAAACTTTTAAAAATAATATAAAAACAGCTACCACTTACTCAGTGTTTACTATATGTCATATAGTGTGCTAAGTGCCTAAACTATTTACATGACCTTTAATCCTCACAACTACTTTATAAGGTCTACTATCTACATTTTACAAAGAAGGAAAATGAGGCTTAAATAAGCTAAATTGCATGAACCTGAAGCCACGTACATTTATTCCAAAGACAGTGCCCTTAACCATTACTAGAACTGCCGCCCTAAATCTTCCTTATATTTGCATGACAGTATAAATAGGGCTGAATGTTATCTTATTCTACTTTGTAAATGTTTCATAAATGTTAACTGATTACAATGGAAATAAATTGTTTTTAGTCTTTCACAGTTTTGTGTATTTTAGAGCTGTTTACTATTAGAATAAGTAGGTGGGAAGTTTTAAAATAAAATCTGCCTCACAGCTGCCCAAGATTAGGTAACTGACCTAATTGAATGTGAAAACAAGCGCCGAAGTCATTACATGTAGGCTTTGGAAACTCAAAGGAAGATAATAAAAACAGAGATCTATTAGGAATTGAAAGACCTGGAATTCACTCCCGGTTCTATCAATTTGTGCTACTCTGGCCCAGCCATTTACAAGTCATTTTTCTCATCTACAAAGCAACAGCGAGGGACTAAATATCCCAAGTTTTAATACGTCATAATTGTAATTTCACCAGCTCTTAAAAGATATATGGGAGGGAGGGAGGCTGAGATTACTTAAATCCTGAATTTTTGTTACAAAATACACGTTTTGAAATACGGATTTATATTCACTGTGCCAAAATTTCCCCAATTTATTTAGGGAACAGGTGTTCTCTAATTAGAAGTTTTAATAATAATAGAGTTTTATATACATAAATTACTGATCCTTCTGACTCAAGGCTATGTTCTTAATCTCATCGTCTTTCCTAAGTCACCTTCAGGGATGTGTCAGTTGTGTTTGCCTATCAAAACTTAAGAATGAGGGATATTCACATAAAGCGCCCAGCTTGTTACAGTGCAGGAATTCAATAAATGCTTGTTTTATGTCATTATTATTTGCACTGACTTATTACATAAGTAAAAATCCTGTCTGTGTTACATTAGACCAGCAGAGGAAGTACAACGATCCATATTTCTTTTTTAACCCTGACAGATAATAAACCAGATCAAAAAGGGGGATACTTTGGGCCAAAAGGACACGTTTTCAGGCAATTATGTTTACACACCAAGTACCGCGCCTATCCACATAATAACAATACAAACAAAAAACTGCTTTTTGGAATTAGCCACTCTGACTTTCCTGTGGACGTCCCTCCTTCCCTCCAAAAATAGACCAACCACCACCAACATACAGCTCTGCTGGGGGTAAAGATGAGGAAGGCCACAGCACCCCTCGAGAAAGTGACACCGGGGCACCGGGCGCACGTTCCGTGTCACGCCCTGCAGCCCAGCAAGGGGCCACCCCTCTCCCCAGCCGAAGGGCAGCCCGGAGAGTGGAGGAGGCGCTGCGGGTATTTAGTGGCAGCTGTAACCATTCTCCTACTCAACCTCTCCCCACCAAGGCAAGCAGGGCGTGTCTACAAAGTCCAGCTTGTGCGCCGAGCACGGCGACTGGGGCAGAGCGCGGGGCACGCGAGAGACTGGAGCGAGAGGCGTCACAGGCGGACCCTCGCAGGGCAAAGGAAGCGGCGGCTCCAAGTGAGAGCCCCGCCAGGGTACCTTGCGTCCAGCGGCAGAATATGGTGTCCGAGAGACTGGGGCTGCTCTTGGTGCCCCACACCAGCTCCATCAGCTCTTTAGTCAGTTCGGACATGATGGTGAACCGGCGGGCGGGTCTTCGTTTTGCGGACTCCTGCCCCGGCACATGGGGAAGGGGCAACTCCGGAGGCAGCAGCTGCGGGACGGCGACGGCAAACGAGTTGGAAAGTGAGGCAGGAAGAAGGAGAAGGGGCTAAGAACTACTTGCAGGGACCGCGCCTGTCAAGTCAGGTTGGGGCAGCAGCGAGTTTCCTGTGCCGGAAGTGCTGGTTCCACTTCCGGCTCCTCTTTCATTCCCGCCCCTTAGAGGCAGCGGGCCCGGAAGTCCCCTCCCCGGAAGTGAAATTGGAGGCGGAAACAGCCACGGACAGCGGTGGAAGTAGCTTCTGGCCTTTCTGAGCCGTGTGGGATCCTTGGGTGGGGTGGTAGTTTTTGTGTTGGGGGGGCGTCAGCGTATTCCTAACCTCCAGGAATACCTCCTTCCTCTAGGCACTGCTCTGGGCTCAGCTGGAGGCTCTGATGCCCAGGCCCTAGGGACTAGAACTTATGCCCATTGCTTTTAATTAACAATATTAATTTCGCAGCACTAGAACTATAAGGCAATAGTTGAATCACAGTGCGGTAACATCCTTACCTTTGTAGGGTGCTGCTCATAAGCTGGAAGCTGTCCGACCTCTGTGCTTCAATAAATACCAACTAGACCAACTAGTACCTAAAAACATGGCAAATAATGTGGCATAATGTGCATCAGAAATGCTTCTATCACGTGCAACACAGAATTACAAGGTATTTGTAGCTAAACAGATTGAAAGCAACCTGTTTGTAAATGTTAACAGCATTTTCATCTCCTATTTTTGAGACTGCAGAGGGTGTGGGCAACACCTGGACTAAAATTTAGCTTTTATTCACTAAACTAGCAGTTAAAATGAGTTCATGTGAAAACTTCTATTTGTGCTACTTAAAAAAAGAGGACTTGAAGGCCGGGGTGGTGGCTCACACCTGTAATCCCAGCACTTTGGGAGGCCGAGGCTGAAGGATTACCTGAGGTCAGGGGTTTGAGACCAGCCTGACCAACATGGAGATAATCCGTCTTTACTAAAAATACAAAATTAGCCGGGTGTGGTGGTGCATGCCTGTAATCCCACCTACTCGGGAGGCTGAGGCAGGAGACTGGCTTGAACCCAGAAGGAGGAGGTTGCAGTGAACTTAGATGGCGCCATTGCATTCCAGCCTGAGCAACAAGGGTGAAACTCCGTCTCAAAAAAAAAAAAAAAGCAAAAAAAAAAAAAAAAAAAAAAAAAAAAAAAAAAAAAAAAAAAAAGGAGGGCTTGTAGTGCATAAGCTTTGAATTTAAAACGAAAATGCAAAATCTGATTTTTAAAAAACTTTGTTTTTAATTTGGTTCTATAAGGTGTTTGTACTCCTTAGAAACCATATTACCTCGGCATGCAGTAATACATAGCTATGATCTGTGGATTATACTGGCCCAGATTCCTACCTTTTGCACTTACTAGCAAGTTACCTGCTCTCTACCTAGGCTTTATTCCTTCTAAAAGGGGGATTACACACATGTCATGTATTGTAAGGAGTAAGTGGAAAAAGTAACACATGCAAAGGATTCAATGTACTTCTTAGCACATGGAAGGCATTTATACAACAGAGGTATTCTTTCATATGAAGAAGATGTTTTGTGGAAATTTAATGGAACAGTAGTTCTGACTTTTTACTCATAAATTCTAGCCAATTGTATTTTAGTTTATAATACCTTATGTTCTCTAATTTCAAAAACATGTAGTTTCATTGTAGAATACCCTCACATTTGGCTAATTAAACATTTAATTTAAAATCTTTTAGATGCCAAATAAGGTTTTGCTCATTTATACTTTATTTCTAGTGATTTTTTGCTACTTATATGCTACTTTTATTTCTTCAGTACCCTTTACTGTAATTAGAGGGACTTGCTCAAAGTGCCTGCACTGCAGCCATAGCATTCCTCTTGATCTATATTCCCTTTAGAATATTCCTTGCCTTATTTTTGCAGATCAAATCTTACCTATCCTTCATGTCAGAGTGTGCATGCCACTTTTAAATAAAGCTTTTTCCAAATCATTACAATTGAAAGTAATAATTGTAATTTCTGAAGCTTCATAGTACCTTATCTGTAACTTGCTTACGACAGTACCTATTATCATTGTATTTGCAAAGAATTATTTGCTTTTCTCTTGAGATATAAATTTATGGAAACAAAGACTTATAATCCTAGCATGGGGATTTGAACATCACTGAATCTCAAAAATGATGATTCAAGGGAACAAAACTTGTCTTTACTGGAAATTAAGAATTCATTATCTTTCAGCAAGTGAGAGATCAGGGGAAGTAGTACAGATTGGTCCAGTTAAATATCTAATATTTGCATGCTGATTACAATTTATGTAATTCTTTCACTTCCTGAAAGGCAGAAGAGTCTATGTACATAGAGCTCATGTAGAACTGGCAGACGTCTAAGTTCAGAGCGTTTCCACATTTGACATTCTCCATTAATGTATGGAAATATTAATGGTATAGTATATATAACACTATATCACATTTGTTTTCTTTCCAGTAATGTACAGATAGTAGTCAGAAGTTTGTTATGAAAAAAGAGAAGAAAGTACTTTCAAAATGTATTTTTTTAATGAGAAATTTTTTGGTCTATGGTTTTTATTAGCTACAGTGATGCTGGCAATATCTTGCATAGACATTGATATGAATGTCCTTTCCACTTTCACATTATAATTTTTATTGGAAATGTTTTAAATTAGCAGGACATATCTTTAACAAGGAATATTAGACTATTAAATTATTTGCTTGATTCATTATAACATTTAAATAGAAATGTAAATTAATATTCATTAAAATTGTCCTTATCAGTAATTATCTATAAAATGAACATTTAAAGGAATCACATTTTGCATCTATATCTGGTGCTGGATGATAATGCCTTTCCCTTGTTAATTAATAAATTGAAAGTTAGGTAAATGTTCTTTGACGTATTTATAACACTTTGTATTTTAGCATATTGTTTTTCTCAGGACTGTCTATGGTTTTGATTAAACTTGTATCACTGAGGTGTATATAGATTGCGTTAATAATCTTTAACTTCCTTTATATGTAAGTTTTATTAATAATACTTCTCTTTCTTTCAAATTCAAGTCATGGTACTGCCATAAAACTGGGCTGACATTTCCATTATATTGAATTCCTTTAATCTATCTTTACTACTTCAAGCAACAAAATTAAATATTCAGCAATAAACTCTAAGTCTCTGTTTACTTATTTTCTGTCTTTCCTCAAACATTTTGTCAAATAAAAGCACAACAACTTTATTACCTAGTTCCTAGGAACTAACATGAAAAGTACCCTTCTCCAATTGGAAACCCTAGGCTCCTAATTTAGTGTGTTTACATTACTCCTTATCTAGAAGAAATCAAATCTTTCAAAAACCCATCCTGCAATAAGATTAATAACTTTTAGGTGGGTCATTAAAACAAGCCCATACTCATTTATTAATAAAATTTTTTCATTTATATGTTCTCTGCCTTCCAATAGTACCATAAGTCTAGCAAAGCAAATGAAGCCACTTTCTCCTACATCATCTTAATCTTAGCAGGATAATACTTGTCCAACTGAGCATACAAGTCCCTTTCAAGCCCACCAACATCATATTCAAGTGTGGCCTAGTGCATCACTTCCCATTGCATCTCCTACTGATATTACTATGAGGTGGCAAAGGGGGGCTCTGTCATTAAATGCTGGGTTAAGTAAATTTAAACAAGTTGTTCACTGCAACTCTCCAAGAGTGGAGATTATGTTTAAAGACACATTTGAATCATTTCATTCGCTGAGCTTCTTATATCATTTATGTTCTGCAAAATACTGTTACAGAATTCACAGGTCTAATGAAATAGTGTCTTGAAATGGAATTAGAAAATCTGAATGTTAGCTTCTCTATGGGCACTAAGTGTGGATGTTGGTTGAATCATTTAACTAGCTGTACCTTGCTTTCTTCATCTGTAAAATAAGCAAATTTAGATTATTTTTAAGGTCATATTCACTGCAGGTCTTGTTTACTTTTACGATTGTAAAAAGTGGCTGTCTTTAACTTGAAATGTATGGGGATAATGGGGAGCAAAAGTATTGGAAACGTATATGGAGTAGAAAAGTAATTTTGGCATTATTCTTTACTAAGACATAGAGTAAAAGAGGTTATTTGCCATTTTAGCACTTGTGCTAACCATTATGAAATAAGAACATAAAATTACAACTTGTACCTTAACCCAAGACTAACTATATAAAGTAAGCATATAATATTTACCCACTTGGATGTGTCATAGGCACCTCAAACTCAATCTATGCCAAATTAAATATGCAAAGATGGCATATGAATTATTTCTGCATTGAACTGGGGAAAATCAGAGAAGTTTGAGCTGGATAGACTCTTTTATTAGAGAAGAGAGGATGTGCATCTCATGCTTGATGATCCAGGAATATCAAGTTACGGAGGTGTAATAGATGGAATTCTGTTCCTCCAAAATCCAGATATTGAAGCCCTAACACCTAATTTAACTGTGTTTGGAGATAGAGACCTTAAGAAGGTAGTTAAGATGAAATGAGGTCATAAGGGTGGGATTCTAATCCAATATAACTGATTTCCTTCAAGGAGGGGAAAGACATCAGAGCATGAGATCTCCCTCTATACAGAAAAGGCCATGTAGTGACACAGTGAGAAGGTGGCCGTCTACAAGCCAGGAAGAGAGGCCTTGCTACAAACCAACCCTCTCAACACCTTTATTTTGGACCTGTGGACTATGTAACTATGGGAAAATAAATTTACACTGGTTAAGACACCCAGCCTGTGCTATTTTGTTGTGGCAGCCCAAGTGAACTAATACAGAGAGACAGACTTAAAAATATTAAATGTTATCTTAAATACAGGCATGCCTCAGAGATATTGCAGATTTAGTTCCAGATCATCACAATAAAGTGAACATTGCAATACAGCCAGTCACACAAATGTGTTTTCCTAGTGCATATAAATGTCATGTTTACATTATTCTGTAGCCTATTAAATGTGTGATAGCATTATGTCTAAAAAAGACAATCAACATATATACCATAATTTTAAAAAATACTCAATTGCTAAAAAATTGCTGAAGACCATTTGAGCCTTCAGCAAGCTGCGATCTTTTTGCTAGTGGAGAGTCTTGCCTCGATGTTGATGGCTGCTGACCGATCAGGCTGGTGGGTGCTGA